CATCCCACCTCCTATAAGGGTGGAGGCATGTGTTGTGCTATGTATGAATGTATGGATGTATTATTCTAATAGTTGGTTAATGGTAAGATGCACCTCCGGGCAGTTGGGCCACTACTGGACGTGGTAGATAGCCGGATCACTGTTGGACGGCGAGACGTAACACAGCAATTGATCGAGTATGTTGGGGTCACTACTGGACGGCGAGACGTAACGCAGTAGTTGACCGGGCATGGACTAGACGGCGAGACGTAATGCAGTGCCATTGCCGAACTGGGTATGCAACCGGACGGTGAGACGTAACGCGGTTGGCATACGAGGATAGGGAAACCGGACGACGATACGTAACGCGGTGGTCCCTAGTGTTTAGGTGTCTATGGATTAAGGATATAAGTAGAGAAATTATATAAGATAAGATAGGAGTAAAGATCTCATATAGACTGGTTTGAGAATAAAGTATAAAGGATGAAAGCGTGAACGACTTTCGGCTAAGCGAGGAACCCCAATAATGTGTTTAGTAAGGATTTTCTTAGGGCGAAGACCTTAGGAAGTAACGACGAGACTGACTCATTCTCACTCACCAGGTGTAGAAAGGGGAAAAGGACGCATCCATCAAGAGGAGGTTACCCGAGGAGAGCAGTCACTACAATCTTGAAGATGTCAACATGATCTAGGTAACGAGATGGGACCTTCCATTATGTCTGTCTTTATTTTCATGTCTTAATGAGTATACTGGGAAACTTAAGAATGTGTTTTATGTGAGCACTTCTACTATGCTATATAGTATAGGTGCTTTAATGTACAACTTAAAGTTGTACCATAACATTAAATGTATAAGTTTAGGTTGTACCATAAAACAATTTGTATCATTATGTTATGGTACAACTTTACAACTTGAAGTTGTACCATCACATAAAAGTACAAGTTCAAGTTGTACTATAAAAGAATTTATACAAAAAGTATAGGTACAATTTGAAGTTGTACCATAACGTAAATGTACAATTTTAAGTTGTACCATAAAGGCAAAATCCTATAGCACCAATACTATATATCATTGTAAAATTTCTCGTTTTATGTTTAGTTGCTTTGGATTGAGGTCGCCCAGTTGTTTAGGGCATTTCACTTGAGAATCGTAAACCTTGTCGTTGTTGATTTTTGGTTTTGACTTATAAACCTGTTTTGGGTTGCTCCGGAGTAACTGGTTTGTGGTTTGAATTATGATTTGGTTTTCAAAAAGGTACGGGTCGTTACAGTGATTAATAAAGTTTGAGAGTAATATACTAATACACCAATGGAATCATGAAAATATTTGACCTAAGAAATTATTAATTATATGTTTATGAAAATCCAAGTATATATAAAAAATAGAAGGGAACTAGGTATGTCAGTTCAGTTATTACCAAGTTAATCGGTTCGCATCATTGTTATTGTTATCCTCGTATCACCATTTTGGTTTATCGATTCCTAGTCGGTTAACCAATTTATCGACTAGTAATAGGTTTTTGCAGCTTCTTGTTAGGTGTTTTGATATATTGATAATCGGTTAACTAGTTTGCGATTAAACCAGTAACCAACCGATTACTAGCTCTAATTTGGCTAGTATTTTGTTTTTGAAAAACTTGGCAATTATTTTGTTTAGAATGAAAGTTTTGACTATTATATTGTTTTGATCATTTTATTTTTTTCCTCCTGAATATAATTCTTGTTATCACTATTTTGTTTTTTATAGGGTAAATACAATATATTAGCCACAACTATTAAACATAGGGAAATTATAGCCACAACTATCGAAATACAAATTATTAGTCAAACATTAACTCTCTGTTAACAATTCTGTTAATAAATGTTGGCTAAGCTTTACGTTGATGAGTTGTCTCCCACGTGGCAGTCATCATATCATATTTTAATTTTAAAAATAAATTATTAAATAATTAAGAAAATGAAAGAAAAAAGTCTAAAAATTAAAACTCTTTTCTTCCTCCAACCATATCCACTCTCCTCCCCTACACCAGCTCGCCGCATGCCGCTCCTCCTCCCTATCCCATCGGCGACTACGAGACTTGGCCCGACAATACGACCCCGGTATGATGCACCTCAATCTGGGGGAGACCTCGAATGTCGTCGTCTCGTCGCCGGAACTCGCCAGAGAGTTCCTGAAGACGCACAACCTCAACTTCGCCATCACTCCCCATCATCGAAGATCTTCAGATCTCCTTTCGATCCAAATCCATGAGATTGCGCCCTCCTTCTTTCCTCTTCTTCTTCTTCGTTCATCAACTGCATGTTGACGTAACCATCAGATACCCATTTCACCACCCTCCTTCGTCTCGCTTCTCCCACCAGAGCCCCCAAAATCTTCTTCTCTTCTTTGCTTTCTTCTTTCTTCAGCAAAGTAGCAATAATCAAGCAATCAAAACAATCAAATTATCCAAAACAATTGGTTTTAAACATATTCCCTATCCCAGCTCTCGCCGTTTCTTGCAGGAAACCAACGGAAAGAAAAGAATCCATCGCGTCCCAAGAAGCTTCCCCATCAGCAAGACCCAGATCTAGAACAGACACATCAACATGACCCGGGTGAAATCAGAATCGATCAGATTGTGAGGCATCGATGGAATCGGAATCGTGGATGTGGCAGAGGGTTACTTCAATGGAATCAGAATTGTGGGCGGGGGAGTGCCGGACGGGAAGAATGGGAAGCCGAGATTGGTGGTGGTTGGGTAGGGGTTCCAGCGTTGGAGAAAGGGAGCTTGGCTGGGGGCGAAGGTGGAGGGAGAGAAGAAGGGGAGGGGGCGGGGGAAGTGTATCAAGCGGGAAGTAGCGGCGGCGAGGTGGAGGAGGAGGAAGAAGGTTGGGAGGTGATATGCCGGAGAAGAAGAAGATGAGGGGAAAGGGATTTGACCCTTCTTTTTTATTTTTTATGTTTAAAAGTTATAAATAAAAATAAATCTGACGTGGAAGGTGATGTGGCTAATAATTTGTATTTTCATAGTTCTGGCTATAATTTCTCGTTTCTTAATAGTTGTGGCTAATATATTGTATTTAACCCTTTTTTATATGTAGTTTTTTATTTTGTTAAAACCAAGGGAATTCTCAACATACACATTCATTTTAAAACTACAAAGAACAAGATTCGTCCGATCTATGTAAGTGATCATTAGAGTCACCGAGGAAATACTATCTTGGTTACCAACCATGTAAATTTACTTTATTCTACGACGAATCAAATTTTGGAGCCTTTGCTGCGGACTTCTCGTGATCGTTGAAAAGGAGTAAGATACTTGTTCTTCCCCTCTTTGTTTTAAATTTTGTTTGAGAGTTTATAATTTTCTTTATATTTAGAGTCTTTTGATTTTGTGTATAATTTTCGTTTTATTTGTATTTGTGTCTATTTTTATTTTTTCTCCGTATTTTGTCTCTGTTTGTCTTTTTTTTTTTTGTATTTTTCGAGTTAGTAGTTTAGTGTCAGGGTCCGGGTTCAAACACAAGAGAAGCAAAATCAGTGGTCAGGGGGCCAATTTCTAGCAAAAATTGGTGGGTTGTACGCCATTTTGGGTGCAACCTGTCACGTGGCAGTTTTTGCAACCCAAGTTATGTGTATGAGCCCAGCATGAACCAGAGGCAAAAAGAACAAAATTAAGCTCAAAAGGCTTGCTAGGGTCGTGTTCAGCGAAGTGGTACTTCCGATTCTTCGAAATCCAAGACATCACCACCATCTAAGAAGAGAGCTTCTAAGAAAAAGCAGGTCACAACTCTTTGACTTAACCCTCTCTTGGACAAGTGCTCAGGAGCGAAAAGCAGGTAGTTCCATTTTGCACCTAAAACTCTTAGAGGCATGGCTGGACGAACTCTCTACAAGTAGACAAGGCCTCAAGCTGCGAATATAGCTTCTAGCATTATCCTACCAGTAATAGATATCCCAAAATTTGAGTTGTGAACTTCTGTAATCCACATGGTCCAGAATGTTGGATGCTTTAAGGGCCGAGATAACGAGAACTACGTCAAACACGTCTAAGTGTTTTTGGAGATATGTGATTTTGCACAAGATCTAGGTGTTGAACCAGACGCAGTAAGGCTATGTCTTCTTTATTTCTCCATCTGAGGTGAATCAAAGAGCTGACTGAATCGCCAACCACCTTTACTTTTCGTACATGAGAGTCGTTGGTCCAAGCTTTCATAGAGAATTCTTCCCTCCGTAGAGAACTGATAAAATGGAAGACTGAATTGCTCACTTCTAGTAACTTGCTTCTAAATCTTTGTACAATGCTTGTGAGCGATTCAAAGAGCTCATTATATCTTTCCCACACCATGATTTTGGGTAGGAGCAGCTTGCAGACATCTTTGGCAACGGTCTGAATCTAAATATTATCGTGCTGGTAAATTAGGCTGCCGAAGGTGGCGTAATGAAAATGAATGCCCCACGAGCTCTGAAACACGTAGTGTCTATGGGTGCCAAAGAAGATCCCAGGGAGTGGGATGTGCTCATGGCCGAGGCATTGGCTGCTGAGATGGGAGCAAGATTGGCTTGTCAGTTTGTGACTAATAGCCCGGTGCTTGAGACCGACATCCTTACACTAAAATCTAGACGCTCCGAGGCAGAGAGTAATCAGACGGAGTTGGGTATTTTGTGCCGTAACATTACCGGCATTTTAGGAGAGATAGGAAATGATGCGTGGTGTTTCACTCCCCGGGAAGGAAACTTGACTGCTCACATTATGGCGCATTTGGAGACTAGATGAAATGAGCAGATTGTTTGGATAGATCGACCGCCTATTTTTCTTATTGACCAACTTGTGATGGACAACATTGCCTCAAGTTCTACTTAATATAATGACTGCAGATTTCGATAAAAAAAAAAAAATTCCGTCGGCATAATGTCCACCTCCATAAGCAACTTCATTGTTGTCATTATTTGTGTTTTTTTAGTGCAATCGCTTATGATTAATCACTCATCCTTAATCAAAGCCCACATTCCGGCTCCGGCAGAAGCCAGAAAGTGAGAAAATAGGGGGAACCTAGTGACGTGTCGAAGATCTTCGTCCGTGTGTTCGGCCCCTATTCTCCCTTGTGTTTCTTTCCCTCGTTTCCCTTTCATTTTTTTCCTTCGCTCGCTTTTACCCGTTGAGCTGGGCGAGCGAGCGAGCGAACCGATCCCCTCCATTCTCTGAGCTCCTTTCCTCTCAATCCGTCTCTTTCCTTTTATCGTTCCTCTTCAGGTAACTCTGCTGGCCTGTCTGGATCGGGGTTTTAGGATTCTGATCTCTGCTGCTTCGATTTCTTCGTGTATCTTTTATGCAATTTATTCTGGAGTTTCTTTTTACTCAATCGTTCAATTTCTTTGTTCATTGATTTCCCGTTGTTCCAGGGTTTAGCAATAGAAATACGGGGTTTTCCTTTGGCGAAGATGAGTTCTTGCTGAAATGGAAATTAATGGCGATAATTGGGATAATTTTATTTATACATGTTCAATTTACTTGGGATTAAATGTCTAAAGTTTGAGGCGTTTCTGGGTTTTCTTCTTCTTTGCTTCTGTTTCTTGGAAACATATGGAAATCGATTTTGTAGATTGTGAGCTGAAAGTTGGTACAAAGTGACGTTTTACATAACCCGTTTAGGATTTGGAATTTTTTGCATTTTGATTTGGGTTTTAACCAAGTTTGTAGTATTGTCAGGTTAAGCCAATAACCTAAGCTAGGCCGAGAGGGATGAGATAACTGCCATGTGGATGCATTGCCCACGACCCAGTTCTTGCAACAAGTTAATGACATTTCCCTGTCCAGTCTTCTATCGCCATTTCAGAAGTTCCTTGGAGAAGTACCAAGCTGCTACCCCGGAATTGAGGCATTACTGAAGGGCCTTCCGCTTATCATGCCTTACTATATACAAAGGCTCTATAATACCTGTAAGGCGTCATTCTCACCTAATGGCCCGGCATCAGAAGAAGCACTTGAAAAAGTTCGCAATATGTTAGGTAATTTGTTTGTTGGAATAATTTCAGTTTCCCCAACTGCATCTGTTTGCTCCTTATATTATATCTTACATTGAACTGATGCGTCATGGATCGGAATGGATGAATGATTGTTTGAGTGAGAAAAGTTGCTATTGTGGCAGTTATACATTTGAGATGCTGGATGTTCTTATCTACAAATACAATTGCTTGGTCCTAGAGTGGTAGGAAAGGTCTGAGGCTTCAGTTATTAACTCATGTTAAAACATCAATGAAGCTTCTGGACTGGCCATTTTCTGTTTCTAATATTGTTTGATAATCTATCTCTAAGACCTCCAATCCATGCTCCAGATGAGCCAACCCTTTGAGGTTTTTCTTTCTGCTTTTATGTTGATGACCCTTCGTTAAATTATAATGCTAGTTCTTTATTTCCAGACATGTTTATCCTGACAATTGACAACTGCTGTTCTATGTATTCTTCTTTATGTGCGTTGGTCATTTACCTTCTGCTTGGTTGGGTTGTTATCTTATCTGATATTGAAGTAGTTTGATAGACTTCTTATCCTGCTGCTTGCTCTACTCACTTTGATGTTACATACTCATATTGTGCCTGGTTAAGAAGAGTCTGCAAAGCTACATCTAGTAATTTAGAAGGGAATTCCTTTTTTAACTGGTATAGTCAGATTTAGGTTTCTTCTCTTTAAAACTACACTTCTGACTATATGATGACATCATGAAAGGGTGCATTTAGGTCAGGTTGATTAAGGGGTTGGGATCATAATCAGAATTAGTGACTGTTTGTTTAAAACAAGGAGAGCCAATATGTGAATAGATTCACCATTTCTAATGGATGATTCGTTCGTTTCTAACCCCATAAAAGTGCTTTAAACTATTAAATTTTCATTATGACGCATTGCTTATAAATATTTCATCCATGTATGTGAATCTTAAAATGGTTCTGCAATTTACTTCTGTATGCATGTTTTTATCTATTATGTCTCTGACCTTGGACTCCATCTGCTGTTATTTGTTCTCTTTGCTTATAAATTATTAAATTTTCATTATGACTCATTGCTTCTAAATATCTTTCTTATTGGATGTATTTTTTGGTCTCTTTTACCGAATCGCTTGCATGTGAGCAGTTATATCGGGTTCTGAACCAGTTTTTGATTTTATTCAAATCCATGATTCCCTTTTATTACAAATAAATAAATTTGCATACCTTTGAACAGTTGATACCCCAAAATGGCACAGGTTAATTTGGTATTGATAGTACGTGAACGGTAACATATGAATAAGGAATAATATTGGCAATAGCAAGCGTATTCTTAATTATTGGAACTTGTTAAATTACAGAAACAAAATGAATACCGTGGGAAGGGTTTTCATGAACTTCAGCATCTTGTTGTTAATGAATATCCTTTCAGCTGGTTGTATGTCAGTTTTTAGCTCTTTGCACAATTCCTTGAGCTTTTTTCTCATAATTTAGTGATAGTCTTTCCTCATATGCCGAACTTGTACTTGGGCGTTCTACTACTTGAACTCTTTCATGTGGTTTATTCTTGTGACATTCCTGTTTATCTTTCCCGACAATTTTTGGTAATATTTCATACAATATTGCAGAGAAAATGAAACCCTCTGATGTAGGTCTTGAGCAAGAGGCACAATTAGTACGCAATTGGTCAGGACCTTTGCAAGAGCGTAATGGGTGGCGTCCTACATTGCCACCAATCAAGTATCTCCACTTGCATGAGTGTGACAGCTTCTCTGTAAGCCCATGATTTCTTCCAGTCATTTCCTGTTTGTTGTGATTTTGTGCTAAAAATATTTGCATGCCATTATGCTAAGAGTGAGATTGCACACCTGCAGCTTGATTCTGATCCTTTAAGACTATATTTACCTTGAAACTCATAATTAATGCTGCCACTCTAATTTCTGGTTGAAATCTGGCTTCGACAAAGGAAGAGTTTTGTGTGTGTACTCTATTTCCTAGCCAGGCGTATGTGGAGAAGCAAGTTCCCATGTTAAAAATATTGGAAAAAATTGTTTCTCTGATTTTCTGTAACTCCCTTTTAGTTACTGATGAGTAGTGACAATTACAGAATTACTTATCTTGAATTTTTATCAAGTTTCATATCTGATTTAAAAGAGAACTACAAGTGGCACTTCTTTTCTATCTTGCTCTTTCCGTCTCTAAATTTGTTAAGCACCCATGTCTGCAACTTCTACAGATTGGAATCTTCTGCATGCCACCGACTTCAATCATACCTCTTCATAATCATCCTGGAATGACAGTGTTAAGCAAGCTTATATATGGAACGATGCATGTGAAGTCGTATGATTGGCTTGATTCATCTGAGCCTGCTGACACGGCGCAAGGTGTGTGTTTCAAATTAAATTAAATTAAATAGTTAACGAAAGAAACATCCTGAACTGGTAGCGAGAAGAGGATTCAGAAATCCTTGTCAAGGAAGAAGTGCATCCTGTTTATCCAATCATTGGCTTTTTCTTTCTTGGCTGTGTATCTGATGCATATTGCCTGCTTAATTCAGCAAGGCCTGCCAAGCTTGTTAGAGACGATGAGATGAGTGCACCGTGTAATTCAACAGTTCTTTATCCTACCGCTGGAGGCAACATCCATTGTTTCAGGGCTGTAACGCCATGTGCCATCTTCGATGTTCTATCTCCGCCTTACTCTTCAGATCATGGAAGGCACTGCACTTATTTTCGGACGTCGCCAGTAAGGGATCTACCTGGTAAACCCAAGCTCCCGTCACTTTGATTTTCTCATGGCAAAAAGTTTCGTAGCTCATTGACTTTTTCCAGAACTTACCAGTACCTGTTATTTATGTGAACGAAGGTGAAGTTGAATTGGATGGAGTGACAGTTTCAGACGTTACATGGCTGGAAGAGTTCCAACCACCTGATAACTTTGTGATAAGGAGAGGTCTATACAAAGGTCCGGTAATTAGAACTTAAGACTTGTAGTTTTCTCTTGTTTGGTGTATTGAGTTGAGTATTCTAATGACAGTCGATTATTGTCATATAACAAAACATTGGGTTAGGTATTTGTTGATATATAGCCTTTGGAATAATCTGAGATTTGATGGAATCGGAATGGCGGTGTAAGTTGGTGCAACTTAACAATGTACATATAAGCTGCTTGAAGGAGGAATTAGCAGGGCATGGCACCTGTTTTCTAGGGTTGATTACTGTGCAGCGTCAAAGTTTACAGGGAGATCAATGAAATGGAAAATATAATTTTCCTCGATAACCTCACTGGCATCGATGATTTGGATCTCGCCGCCTGTCTCGGGTCGACAACAAGATCTATTTTAAACCCTCGACGACTTAAGATCCTTGCCCTCGTTTCCTAGTTTTTATAATTTGTTTATTTATAATCAGTGATGGAATATAATCCCAATCAAAATTATGAAGTCAAACTTTTGATCAATTACAGGGATCTGTAGACTCGGCCTAGTATCGGATACAATTGAAATAGGACTGGACCAAAGACAAAGAAAAATTGTGGATCAAAATTGAATAAAAAAAAAAATGTTCGGTTCGATTTTGTCCAGTTTAAATTTGGTTTTGGTCCATTTTTTATTCATATTTACAATAATTTATAGGACCAAAATAAAATCGAAATATATTTGACCCGATCCTATTCTGTTCTAATATTAATCTGATTTGGTTCGGTGTGAACCAAATTGTTGTCCGCCCTTACTCTCATGTACATATGCTTGACCCGCATTTAGTGATGGCGATGGGGCGGCGTGGGTATCTCAATACCCATATCCGCCTCGCACCAAGTATGGGTCAGGCCGGATAAAATCCGTGTGGGTACTGGTCAGACCTTGTCGACCCATTCTTATATATTATTTGAAGAAAATATTTATTTTTCTGTGATAAAATAGAAGAAAATTTGTTCATAAATGAAAATAGAGATAATAGGTATACTAACTGAGTCCAATTAGTTGAAATATAAAATCTTGCGCAAATCTAAAATATCATTGGGTGAAAATATGAGTTAAGATAAGTATGAATAGGAGAACTATTTAGAGAAATCAAGGTATAACGGGTAAAAAAGAGGTGAAACGGGGAGGGACAAATTATACCCTGTCCCACCCCACACTACTATAAATCGGGTATTACACGTAAGAGCACAAGTCAGGTCGATAATAACCCGTAGGGCATGTTCAAATTGTCATCACTACCCTTAGTCTTGTCCTATTTTTTTCCTCCTAGTAAAACTACTAATTTTTTTTGCCCAAAAAGTCAGATTATTCGTGCTCTTCAAATCTTTGATATATTTGGAACTAAAAAATTGAGGCATATATTACCAACTTATACCATGATGGTAAAGTTTGGTAGTACATAAGATATTACAATGGTGGTATCACTGGTATGAAAGTGTAACAAGGTGGTATACATACATATAAAATGGTAGTATAGGGTGGTATATTAGGTTGTGAAATATTTTTTCTATAAGTTTGTAAAAAAAAAAAACAATATATCACGATGAGCTTGTTCCATATGTACAAATAATTTAAAATTTTGGTTAAAAATGAACATGATGTAGAGTGGCACCTTGTGGTACTAGGGTGGTTGACTCGCTCTAAACTACTCCTAATCGAAGGCCAAATCATAACCAACAAACAAACGTAGTATAGTGGAAGCAAGTAATAAAATTATCCAACCCTAGGGTCTCTAGATGTACCGTTACTTCGCTTCGGTTCGTTATCTAGCCATACAAGAATAGTGATTAAGAAATTGAGCTAAATAAGCTACTCTAGTCACTACTCTAATTAATTACAACTTTACAAGGGGTGATCTTCAAACTCCAATGGTGATCCAAGCCTCCAATCTTGCTCCAAGAATCCTCCAAAATCACTCTCTCTCTCTTTCTAGAATTGCCCCTTGAGTATTTTTTTTTTTTTGTATATCACAATAAGCCGATCCCATCTGTTTAAATTCGGGTTAACTAACGAAGATACAAGTCGATTAAAACAAGTAGAGAAAATAAAAAAACTATTAATCTTACCCCCACTTAACACCAAAGGTAAAGATTTAGTTGTGTACTTGTGCATAACTATGAGTTATACACCTTACTCTAGATCAATTTGAATTCAGTCCACTAATCCAATCTATGCACTAAAAAATCTAACTAATGCAATCTATTTAAATCAACTCCATTTAATCCAAATTCAATTAAATTGGCGAATTCAAGAATATTTAAAAAATACAATTCGGTATCAAACAACAAAGTGTACCCATCCATTCAATCACTTGTATGGAGGTGATGCCCAATATGAGAGAAGTTGTTCGAGTAGCTTCTTTTGCTCCCCAATTGTAGTAGAAGTCTTCCCCACAGAACCATGCTGACCTTATCTCCTCTATATACATATAAAATTATCAGCAAGCAACAAATCTTATAGCAGAGAAAGCTTCAATGTATGCTATAAAACTATGTATTGATGACAAAAATGTGAAACACTTTAAACGGAAAATGCCTAGGATATGAACCTCTAAGTGCCCATTACATTCATACCAACCAAGAACTCAGTTGGACAAAAAAATCTATACCGACCAAGGAGGCTCAAAACCACTTCAATTAAAGAAAGAGTCTCGATTAGTACCTGGAAGTGCGAGAAACGAACGGAATAAAACCCCCTCAAGGCATCAGGCATTAGGAGAAAGTAGGTAAAAACTCATCAGGCATCTACCATCTAATCAACAATCACCACCATTCTCCCTCCTAAGCTTGCCTTCTCTCCTCCTTCCCGACCATCCAAAGCCTTCTTCCTCCCACCTCTCTTCATCTCCGCCTCCTTCTAGTCTGCCAAACCCCTCCAATTCCAATTGATTTTCAAATCCAGATGATTGTCCATCAAAGCAACAATTTCCTCCCTCCCTCGGCCTTCACTGTGATTTCCTCTAGAGATTGATAGGAATGTGAAAGCTTACATATGGAGAGTGCAAATCGTCCTTGTATTGCGTCGGCTGACTTACAAAAACCTCATCGCCTGTAGCTGCCTTGCACAGGAGGAGGGTCGATGCGACGGGGGAACTGGAAGATCGGTGCGAGATAATAGTTCTGGGTTGCTTCAGCGTAGCTAGAAATAGTTTTCTATTCGCGGGCCCTAATAATCACTCGGCCCGTTCAGTTCCGTAAGAGTGCGGACGATAAAAGATACTCTTTCCAAAAATACCCCTCCGTGAAACGGTCTGGAGGTAGGAATTTTGAAATGGGGCTCCCGTTTTTCTCTTCGACGTATTATATTATTTTATGGATTGACATTAGAATGATGGGATTGGACAATGAGATCGTCCTTAGTTAAGCGACATGTAAATTTGTTCATTTGGTATGGAGGACACAAACCGTTAAAATTTTAAATTATTTTGGTGACTTAGTATTTAGTGTTTTCAAAATCGTGGTATATGAGTTAGGTGATTAAAATATCTAAACCCAAATGAACCGACCCACGTACACCCCTAGGAAGAGTTCCAAAACTATTTAACCGGACAAAAATGTTCAGAGAACCAGTCCTCTATAGTTTGCACAAAGATATGATTGCTTCACTATAGTTCTGGAAATTAATTGGTAATTTAAGAATTCTACATCGCTTCTACATATTCAACACTATAATTCGATATGAAATATTCGAACAAACAATTTTTTGGTTGCAAATTTATGGTTATTGTCTATTTATAAGATAGATAAAATTTTAAATTAAGTATTAAACTATAATAAAAATAAATATATCAAAATCGAAGTATCAAAACACCAAATAAGTACTTACGGAATATTTATTGGGCTAGCTAACTGTTGAAAAGTTCTGTGATTTCATATTTTAGCTTCGTATATATTTTTAATTTAAAAAATACAACAAATCTACATAGTCTGATTGACAAACCTTCACTTTGTTTGAAGTAACCATGGTTCAAATCTCAATATGTCTATCTTTTTCTGTAAATAAATAAAAAATACAGATAACTGTAAAGACAAAAATGTCCTTCCTAATTTTCCTCTCATTGCAGGAAATTTGAAAAGGGAGATTAAGTTTCAAATAATTAAATCATCGAAAATTGCACTCCCACCAGGCGATTTCGAGAAATTGCGATTTTTTGGAGAATTTCGGAAATGAGTGGCATTTTTAGAATTTTTTTCCTTTTTAATGATATTTCTAGAAAAATCCGAAATCCTGGCAGAGTTTTGATTAACGATAAAAAAAAAAAAACTAATCTCCCTCTCTCTACGTTTCTTTTTAGTTTGGGCTAATACCACTACAACATCCGAACTATGACCAAAATGCCACTTGTGTCCTATTTTTTTCAATATTCCATTTATGTCTTGAACTATTTTTCCGTTAAATTTGACTTGTTTTGACTGTTAGTTTTTAACAGAAAATCTAGTCAGCGTTGATGTGGCAGATGATGTGGATTTTTAAATTATTTTTAATTTAATAGAATAATTAAAATAAAAACAATGAAAAAAAAAAAAACTCGTGTCCCTTTTTTCCCCTCTCGCCGCCGTCTGCATCTCTTGAGATTTGGGGTTTTCGGCAGCGGCGGTGAAGAAGGGGCCGTTGGCCGTGAGTTCGGATCCCCAATTTCAAAGCAATGAAGAAGAGCTTGGTCGACGATAACGAATTCAAAATCACTAGTCTCCTCCTGCCCCCGGTCCGTCTCTTTCTTCACCAAGCACCCATTTTCGAATCATCTCCTATTGAACAAGGAAGATGAAGATGATTGAAGCTGCTACAGGATTCCCAGAAGACTGAAGCAGCTGCTGGTTTTACAGAGATCAAGAGGCAGAAACGTTTCGTTTCTGCCTCCCCTTCCATCTAACGAAGGCTAAGACTGAAGCGACGTCGTGGAGGCTTACTTACCGTTAGGTGGAACAAAGAGAGGCCAATCAACAGAAGACACATGGCGCCTTTTATTTACTGCATTTGTATTTCTGTTTTAACAGACATTTCAGTTTTTACTGTACTGCAACTTTACTCTTTTGGACCTAGTATAAATACAGAGATGAGATGGAGCTGAGCTCCTTGCGGGTTCCATTTTCTATACCGCCATTATACCTTCTTCTTCTTAAACCCTAAGCTCTCTGAGCTTTTCTACATGGTATCAGAGCTGGAACAGATCCAGTGACCAACAATGGCGAATCAACCTCCTCCCAACACACCACCTGGTGGTAATCCGCAGCGCAGTGGCCCGATTCCCTTCGGGAGCTTCGATCCACAATCCAACACGTCGAACAACGGCAGCACCAGCACTAACAACAACTCCAGAGATGGTCG